AAGGGCCACACTTGTAAGAAGGTCTTTCTAAAGATAGCAGCCTGAGGCCTGCTATGTTAACTCTTTTCTGTACAGGTATCATGTTTTTCCAACCCCACATTATATACTCATGTATAGTTGGTTTTCCCTTTTAAAAAGCTTTTATTTTCCAATTTAAAGTATGTGAGGTTTATTTTTTTCTATTTATATATTAAATATTTGCTTCTTAGATAAGAGACTAATATTTTTTCTTGCCTTCTATTTTCCTAAACATTTCAGGTTTTCTACAAAAGGTACGTATTGTTTTTACAATTGGAAAAATACAAAGATACCAGTTCTGGCGACATTAAAATTTTACTTACTCCTTTTAAAACAAACATTTGTGTCTGGAAAAGAATAATCATACTCTTACATTTTTCTTCATGTCAAAGTATTCTGTCAACAATTTTATTATTTTCAATGAAAACTTTTATAAGTGTGAGTTAATGCATTAACACTTGCATTACACATGGGTGAAGAATATTAGTCTAAAAGAAATAAACATGTATAATACTTTTCACCTGTGCTTGACTACTGTGGATGGTGGATACATGCTTAGAATTGAAAAGAAGATGATTAACAGTAGTTTGGCTCTCAGAGGCAAAAACAAGTTACTTCTAATACCTGCTTTATCAATGAGAACATTACATAAGTGATAGTTAAGCGGTCTACTGCATTCAAGGCAGGTCTCACCTTATCAGTAAATGAGCTAATCAATCTCAGAGATGCCTTTACTTTTCTACGACTGACAGTCTTCAACATGGAACAGCTGACAACAGAACCTATATAAGGAAAACTGAGGTAACCTGAAAGGCTTCAGGAAATATTAAGATAAAGCTTATGCTCTAAGTATACATACAGTAGACCCTCTGTATCTGTGGGTTCCCCAAGTGCAGACTCAACCAGCAGTGTACCGAAAATATTTGGGAGAAAAAAATGCCAAGAAATTCCAAAAAGCACGATTTGAATATGCTGCACCTCCCACAACTATTTACATAGCAGTTGCACCATATTGTCAACTATTTACATATCATTTATATTGTATCAGATATTATCAGTAATATGGAGATGATTTTAGGTATACACAGGTTGTGTAGTTATATGCAAATACTAAACCATTTTATATAGTAAGGGACTTGAGCACCCTCAGTTTTTGGTATCCAAAGGGGGTTCCTGGAACCAATCCCCTGCAGATACGGAGGGATGACTGTACAAACATTTCTAGGGCTCTCTTCAGCAGCACATATACTAAAATCAGAACAAAAATTTCTATACATAGAAACTATTAAATACATTCTTCTGTCCTAAGAAGTGCTTTCATCATCAAAAATACATTTTGGGGGGGACTTCCCTGGTGGTTCAGTGGTTAAGACTCTGTGTTTCCAACGCAGGGGGGTGCAGGTTCAATCCCTGGTCAGGGAACTAAGATTCTATAGGCCGTGCAGCGTGGAAAAAAAAAAAATATATATATATAAACTTTTTAATATCTATATGTATTCAAAAACATGAGGTTTTTGAAGCAGAGATCAGAGTTATTATTACTTACATCAAGAAATGCACCATTTTTCCCACACCTAATATGCCACAGGCGTCATAATGAGAGCTGGTGGACTAGGCGTGCACATATAAGGATTGAACCACAGGATAGGTCCCCAAAATTATAAATCTATTAGTTTGTATGGGATAGCTGCCCAGCAGCCACCTTCCCCCAAGAAAAGCAGAGAAAGCTTATCTCCCTAATGTAAGCAAATTCTCCTTCGGAAGAAAAGGGGATGATCCCTGGGTTCTAACCCTTTGGAATATAAATAAATGTCTCCAGGGGGAAAGATAAACTTCCCTGGGTTTACAATCTCAATCTTGGGAATGTCTCCAAGGCTCTGAGTTTTATACCCCTTTGAAATATAAACATAAACTTCCTGAGAGTTCTCTAACAATCATTTCAGTCATCCTTTAACTTCCAAGGCTTGCCCTTTAACCCAGGCTCTAGTTTCCTTGGCTTAGAAAGCCCTGACCATGCAGAAACATGAAAATATTTACTCCTTGGTAATAAGCAGTAAAACTAACCAAAGTATTTACTTTTGCAGCACTCATTAATACCTGACAGCTACCTAAAATACTGGCTTTCAAACCCTTTCTGGAGAGCCCTAGGAATTCCTTAGCAGTGCCCCAGAAGTGTCTTTTCAGGGAGGTAGTTAAAGTAGGGGACAGAGGGAGCAGCTACGAGACCCCAATTCCTGCAAAAAGCCATCTGCTCTCATAAAGGCTCTACAAAAAAAAAAAAAAAAAAATTTGTTTAATCTACTGAAAAAAGACACACCAAAAAATCTTAGGTAACCCAAATAAAGATCCTCAGTCTTATAGAAATAGACAAGGCCCCATTTTCACTTACACTTAAATTTCCTTAGTGGTACTCTTATACAAGTAAAACTTATAAAACATGCACCACCACAAAGTTAACCAATTAATCTGGGGGCTCCCCATATAACTCATGGGTCCTGAGAAAGTTCCTTGACGTTTTGCCTGTTGATGTCCTCTGTGTACAATGCCACTTGAAGACAGCACCTAGCCACTAACAGTGTCTTCAATAAAAGCACTATCCTACTGAGGATCCTGTTTTCTAATGCTGGTCCTCCCTAAAGAGTGCTGCAATTCTCTTTTTGTGGGAACAATACCTGTGTTACTCACAAAAGTGCTCTTTTCTCTCCACAGGACTCAGACTTAGTTCATGGGGCAGCCACCAAACTCTCATATACATCATCCCAATTCACTTTTCTATTTCCAGGTAATGCAACATAAAACTTCCTTCATCTCTCTTTCCCTGAACTCACCACCATATAAATAACCAACACAAGTATGTATCTGGGAACCTCAGACCCACCAGTTCAGGCAGCCAGACTGCAATTCCCAGGTTAATACTCCGGAAGATTCTAGCTACATTCACAAAAGTTCAATACTAAGGTTGTATCTACTAATCTTTAAATATCTAAAATAATATGCTACGCAGTACCACTATCAGAATTTTACATGCTTATTTATCTATTGCATTTTTCAAAGGACGGACTGAGTGTCAATTCATATTTCTTTACCTAGGAAAAAAGACAACTGCCTGGGATTCAAGAAGCCTGAGTTCTGGTCCCACATCCATTTGCTATGTGAATTCAAGCAAGTCACTTCACTTTTCTTGGACAATTTCTCATCTGTGAAAAGGCAAGTTGCCTATTCTCAGAAGTGATCCAAGGGGAATCTGGAGTTTTCATATAATTAAGAATGTACTCTCCCTCAATCCTCATATATACCTGAAAACATGATGACAGGCACACTGTCATGTGCAATCTACCTGTCAAAATCTACCTCCCCCGTTTCTAATGCAAGTTCATATGTGTAGAAGATAGCAGTGTATCACTATAGGAAAGAGCATTCCAGAAGTGTAAGGCAAGTAAAATGACAACTTACAGTACTTCACTCAATTCTGCAAAACATTTGCCAGTCATTTAAAAATTAACAAAGGTAATTTTGATCCCTGCCACCCTCATTTTTCTGCTCCCTCCCCCCAAAATGTAGATTAGTTGATGATATTAAAGGGGGTATTATAGGTGAGAATCACTGACCAATATGATGTGACCCACTCATTCATTCAATAAATATCTGACAGCTCAATTACCAGGCATTAAGCTAAGCACCAAAGACAATGTCCAGAAAGGTGCTTAGCTTTGGCCAGGACAAAAGCATATAATAAAGTGAATAATCTGGGATCCCCGGGCCTTAACTGCATCACAAAGCCTTGATGGCATTATCCTGCCTTGATTGGTTCTACAACTTGTATCTAAAGGAAAAGCTTGATGAACCGAATTCCCTCAGAACAAACCACCACAGGAAAGTGTGTGTGTATCTCCATTCATCAAGGACAGAAGCTGAGAAAACATCCCATTCTTCGGCTTTGCCACGTTACAGAACGTGTCAAATGGACAGTGAGGAGTGGCACCTGCAAGAAGGTTCACAGGCTGAAAAGCACAGGTCCAGGCTACCCATTAGGCCATGACTAAATGAGTCTGAAAATTCTTTAAGATTCTGTTTCCTACAAGATGATTTCAAGACTCACAGTGGACTATCATTCCCAGATTCGGAAGGTGCAAAGAAAGTTCTAGAAAACTGCAGTAAATCTAAATTTCATCTTCTAAATAAAATTCTGAGACAGGTATTCGGTACAAAGGTGGGGGGCTTTACATTAGGGGTCATTCTTGAATGATCACACTTTTCTTTTTAACCAAAAGTCTGTGAAACGATCATTATTTTAAGAGCTTTAGCCAAATGTTGCTAATTTTGAAAATCAGGCTCTCTGCTTCCTAACCAACTCGCTTACCCGCTTGCATTTAACAACAACAAGGAAGGGAGTAAAGTCCGGCCTCTGCGAGCACAGCCTCGCCCCCGAGTTATTTAAAGTGCAGCCGCATAGCACAGGGAGATCAGCTCGGTGCTTTGTGACCGCCTGGAGGGGTGGGATAGGGAGGGGGGAGGGGGGGAGACGCAAGAGGGAAGATATATGGGAACATATGTATATGTATAACTGATTCACTTTGTTATAAAGCAGAGACTAACACACCATTGTAAAGCAATTATACTCCAATAAAGATGTAAAACATAATAATAATAATAAAGTGCAGTCTGAAACCCTTCCTGAAATGTGGCTGGGGGTGCATTTTTCAAGGTATTTAAACTTGGGGGACAAGGGGGGAGGAGTAAGGGAGAGAGGCGAGTCCGCCCAGTAGGACCGCGCAGGGGCCGGACCCAGGCCTGGACGCCGGGCAGGGTGACAACGGGGCGACCGCGGAGCCAGGGCAAGAGGAGACGCGAAAGGCCAAAGGGCGGGCGCCGGGGGCAGCGGATACTTCTGGAAAGCGCGGCGCTCTCCTCAGGATGCCGCTGGAGTGGGGAGGCTGGGGCTGGGGTCCCTTTCGCCGCCCGGACCGAGTCTCGGAGGATACCTGACTGAGGGCGGCCGGTCCACAGCCCCCTCCCGCCGCCCCGGCGGGAGAGAAGGCCGGTTCTCCGCAGAGCCGCGACCCTCGCCAGCGTCGCCAGCGTCGCCAGCATCGCGAACCCCTCTGAAATCCTCCTTCCCTGCGTGAGTGGAGAACGAAGTGCGCGCGCGACCGCAGCCACTGGGGGCGCCCGCGGACACCTCGGTCCCCGCCCCCCGCCAGGTGGGAGGGGCCCGGCCCTGCCGAGCTCTCCGGGCCCCCCTCCATCCGTTCGGCAGGCGTCTAGTACGTCAGTCAGTGGCAACCAAAGCCCGCGAGACTGCAAAGGCCGTTGCTGGGGCCCGGGATTCGCCCTTTCCTTTATCCTTCTTCTTCCTCCTTCCTTCACTTAAATCAGCTGAATCTGTACCCAATTCGATAACCTACTTATCCCGCCGCCCCAGAGGAACCTTTGTGAGGCCGGAACCAATGTGGTCTATGGTGCTGGCGGGCGGAGGACTGTTTTGGTGAAGGACCACCAAGTGTCTGTGAACGGTTGGTCTCGACAGTTCCGGCGGGAGAAAGCGCCATTGAGGTCCTCGTTTTCGTCTTCTGAGATGCACCGACAGAATTTCCGACCCCCGACTCCTCCTTGCCCCAGCCCGGGTGTAGGAGGTTGGGGTAGCGGGAGCAGCTTCCGGGGTACCCCGGGCGGAGGCGGAGCGCGGCCGCCATCCCCGCGGGACGGGTACGGGAGTCCACACCACACGCCGCCGTACGGGCCCAGGTCTAGGCCCTACGGGAGCAGCCACTCTCCGCGACACGGCGGCAGCTTCCCTGGGGGCCGGTTCGGGTCTCCGTCCCCTGGCGGCTACCCTGGCAACTACTCCAAGTCCCCCGCGGGGTCCCAGCAGCAATTCGGCTACTCCCCAGGGCAGCAGCAGACCCACCCCCAGGTAATAATAGCCAGCGTTTGCCGAGCTCTTACTGTATGGCAGGCATGGTACTGATAATCCCCTTGCGTGGATTATTTTGAATCCTCTATGAAGTGAGATACTATCGTTAGCCCCATGTCGCAGATGAATAAACTGAGGCTCAGAGAAGTTAAGTATAACTTTCTTTAGAATGCTGTAAAAAGTTGCAGAGCTGTACTTTGTTTCTATAGTCCTCCTACTTTTAGCCAGTACACTGTCGCTCAAACACAGATTTCCCTAATTCCCTCTCCTTCGTCAGGGGCCTGGCCAGTTCGTTGCAGTAAATTATTCTGAGTCCCCGGTCTTCAAGGAGGAAAAAAAGCGAATGAATCCCCGGCATAGGGCTCAGCTCTAGGGTTACAGGCTAGTGCCATCTTCCTACTGATGGCACCTTTTCCCTTTTTTTCTTTTCTTCTTCTTTTTTTTTTTTTTTTTTTCATTTTGGCCTTAGTTTTTCAACTACATTGGCTTCTGCTCTAAGGCTTCTTTCTGGTATGTCTAGGATTCTGTGGTTTACATCTTAAATATGCTTGGTAGTTTTCCAACTTATGCTAAACCAAACCCATCCCTTTGAGTGTGGAGCTAATGAGATGGGAGGGTTCTAGAAATTTTGAAGCTGTAGGGTTAAAAAAAAAAAAAAGTTTAATTTGCTTCCAGAAGCAATAGGGAAATACTGAGGGAAAGACTACAGTACAAGTAATTTCTTACTTCATCACCAGTTTATAGTTTGGGAAAGTTATTACATTAGAAACCCAAAAGGATTTGAAGTGACAGTGGGCATAAAACTATCAATAAATTAGTATATCAAATAGGTTTAAATACTTTTTTAAAACACTAGATTAAAGGAAGGATGGACTTTGCAAGTGAACATATTTGGGTTCAAGACACAACTTTTAACTAGCAGTGTGATCCCCTCTAGCCTCTAAAGAAAAAGTACCAGTTACCTCTACTAAATGTCTTTTTAACTGATGATTTTTTTTCTAAAGGGTTCTCCAAGGACATCTACACCATTTGGATCAGGGCGTGGTAGAGAAAAGAGAATGTCTAATGAGTTGGAAAGTTATTTCAAGCCTTCAATGCTTGAAGACCCTTGGGCTGGCCTAGAACCAGTATCTGTAGTGGATATAAGCCAACAATACAGCAATACTCAAACATTCACAGGCAAAAAAGGAAGATACTTTTGTTAACATTTCTGAAATTCAACTGGAAGCTTCATTTGTCAGGAACATCTTGGACAAAACTTTTGCTTGTAATTAAGTTGAACCCTAACGTGGTGACTTTGAATAATTAGTTGTGTCTTCCTTCATCATATCAAGTATTTTTGGTGTTAGAGAAGACATATGGTAGGATAATTTGCAATATTTAGCTCTCTGGAAGTGCCTACCAATTTTAGAAGATTGACAGTTTCCAAATACTTAACATTCTTGGTTATATAATGGACATTTGTCTTTTAATGTTTTTCCAATGTTTCAAAATAAAACATTTTGTCTTTCTAGCTATATTGTGCTTTGTCATATGCCAAAGAATTATTAAAATAATGCTTTGTAATCACATAGTTAGAATTCGTAAGTATATATTTTGCATACTATTGAAAATGAAATAGACTGTCCTTTGTCCTGTAGACAGTTCTTTATTTGTTCATAAGGAAAGGGGGTAAAGGAAAAGAATAAAGGAGATTTCTATTCATATTATAACCATTGTTCTGCATGCATATTTTATGTAATGCTTTTGTAAAAATGCATTGAAACTTGATTGAAAGTTACAGAAACCCGCTTAAGCTTAAATTAAAAAAAATATTCATACCCTTCATACTCATTTAACTGCAGAGGACAAGGATAGACCTACTTCTTGCATAGCTATATTAAAGAATTCTCCATCTGAATTTCTCTACTCCACATCTCTCAGTATTGTGGAGTCATTTTCTCTTGAGGCCCAGGAAGATGGCTACCAGCAGTCTTAAGTCACTTCCATTGTGAAGAGAACATTTCCCAGCTCTATCAATCTCAGTGAAGACAGATTAGCCATGCTTAGGTCAAATTTTAGAGTCTTAATCCAATAACTATGATCAAGGCAGTGTGGCATGATTAGCTTGGACATGGATTCACCCCTACAATGAGGCAGGGTCCCATGGTCTTCAGCCCCACCAGGCCTCCCTGGACTAAAGAAAGGCTTTCCAAAGGAAGGAATGCTACATACCTATTCCTACAGTAATGGGGAGAAAATTGAAAATGTTGGGGATTTTCATTTTCCCCAACTAATTAAACAAAATCAAGTCTTATAACATTCAGGCTTTTTAGATATTTTAGGGTCACAATATATGATGAAAGTATAGCTAAAATTTTATTTAAACATTCCCAGAAAGAAAGCTTTAAAAGTGAAAAGGTTACACCACCTATTTGAGCCATAACCACTTCTATTTGTATGTTAGGTCTTTTCACAGAGGCAAAACAAAATGAGAAGGGAAGGATTTTAGATTAATAAAAGCTCCATGACACCCAGGACTACTACTACCAGTTACTAGCTTGGTGAATTATTTAACTTCTCTGTGCCTCAATTTTCTTATATGTAAAATGAAAAACTTAACAGTACCCATGTCATAGAGGTGTTGTGTTTGAGGATTAAATGGGTTTACATGTGTGAAAACTCTTAGGCCAGAGCCTGGCACATAGTGAGCCCTCTAAATGGTAGCTGTTACTTTCTCACTTACCCCTATATCCTCAGCTCTTAGAATGATGCCTGGAAAATAGTAGGTGCTTAATAAATATTTGGTGAGTGGATGCAGACATTCTGATTATAACTACTGTATTGCTCTGCCTTTATCTCCTATATATAAATAGTAATTTTTCCCCCAATGTTCTAAAGGGAATGTCCTTATTTTCTAACATCTTGTATTTCTAGATGATTTGAGGTCATGATGTATGATGAAAATTAGAGCAAGTACAATACTTTTGCATACCTTTTATTGAACTTAATAGGTAAGAAATATTATCTCTAGGAAGTGACATTTAGAAATAATTATTAAGCCATTGCTTGGAGATCACTGAATTATTGGCAAAAATAAAGGAAGTCAAGAAAGGTTTTATGCTAATGTATTTGTATCATATTTGGAAAACATTCAAATTATAATTGTTCTAATGGCTTATGTGCATTTTATTTTACTACTTTATAAGTGTAATGTTAACTAAATGTAAAATTTCTCTTCTGCCAAGTTACCAACATCTTCCAGAGGTCTGACCTTTCTGATTTTAAGAGAAACATTTTTGTCCTCAGGAAAGATACATTGCTTTACTGCTCTGGTTGGTAGTGTATATAGTTATCAAAGGTCTTTCGACATTGATATTGGTTTGTTTATATTACTAGCCTATTTTTGTTTAGCTGAGTGAAAGGAATTGATCATTCTTTTAAATGAAAAATGATTTTTTAAATTGTTCCAGAATACACGTTTTTACCTCTGCAGAGATGCTAAATAACTGTGTTAGGGAAATTTATAGTTAAGTATGCATCTTAAATATTCATATAATTAAAGAATGGAAGTATAATCTGTAGCTGGGTTTTCAAACATGGGTGTTTGTACTTCTGGGAGTATTTAACTGCAAAGGCAAAGATAGCTTTAAGGGGATTTTGATCCAGATCCTCAAATCCCAGATGTACTCTTTAGTTAAAATGATATGCTTAAAGAACATTTCCATGATCAGTGGATGATGCCAGTTCTCTTTTTTTCCCTTGTGCCTTTTCATAATTACCCTTCTCCCACTTGACAGAAGAAACCTATGGCAGGTTGTGTTTTTCAAAAATGATGCCAACAATATTTCAGGTCCCTCAGACTCTTCCAGTACCTTGCCTCTACCTCATCAAGATAGAGAGTTATGTCCCTGCCCTTTGAACTCAAGCAGACCTTTCTGACTGCCCAAGGAAGTACGGTGGAAGTTAACGTGTTTTCATCACAGGTGAAGTGTGGTCTTAGAAATGAGTTATGTTGGCCCATGTGGAGATACTCAGAACTCACATGTGTTGTCAATTAGGGAGATAGCGTGATGACAGTTTTTGTTTATAGGCCTTGCCTTTTTTGTCTCCTGACTATTCAAAAAGTCATTTTTCCTGTGGGTGAATCATGTGAAAGCAAAGAGAGCATGAACATAATGTGAAGGGAAAGGCACTTTATTTTTAGGAAACAATGAAAAAGTTGCTTGCCTCATTTATCTTAGAATATTTAAGAT